ATAATAATTCCTATTTATGTCACAGAGAAGTACTATTGCTGAGAATGCAGTAAAACACCACTTGCATAAACCTGGTATGAGACATGTAAACATAAACAAACTATGGTTTGTTGGAAACAGTCATTTTTATCTAAAAGTGTCAAGATTAGCACGTTCATAGCAATCCAAACACGTGATTTCACGCTCAATACATCATAGATAACGTAACCGGGACAACAGTGTTGACAGTGTAGACGTTATTGTCGACATGATACCATGCATGACTGTTAACACAATGTACATATCGACACATAAATTGGACAAACAGGTTTCAATACAGAAACCATAATTTCTCCAAGGTTGTTTTGAAGTTGGATAATAAAACTCTTGTGTGTCTCCTTCTGCTGTCACACAAACGTATGAGGACGACTCACACAGCCATGTTAGAGTTTCTATTAACATTATATTGCGTCTGGAAAGTAAAGGAGTATATTACATACAAACGCAAGTTTCTCAGAATAATTTGCCTTTCCTACAACAGATAGTTTCATACAATTTAGCAGCATCTACATTCTAAGATTTACTTTGTCGCTTTACTACAATTACTTATAACATTTACACATTATTTTGTTGCTTTTAATTATCAACCCTGAATTATAACTGAATCATCTTATTACTCTCAGACTACATGACATGCTGTTGGCCATGCTACACATGTGTTCAGGTGAGTGGCTGCACATACGATTAGTATGTCAGACTACATGTCAATGAGCTCCTTGCTGTTGGCGGTGCTACACGTGTGTTCATGTGAGTGGCTGCACATGCGATTAGCATGTCAGACTACATGTCAATGAGTTCCTTGCTGTTGGCGGTGCTACACGTGTGTTCAGGTGAGTGGCTGCACATACGATTAGCATGTCAGACTACATGTCAATGAGCTCCTTGCTGTTGGCGGTGCTACACGTGTGTTCATGTGAGTGGCTGCACATGCGATTAGCATGTCAGACTACATGTCAATGAGTTCCTTGCTGTTGGCGGTGCTACACGTGTGTTCAGGTGAGTGGCTGCACATACGATTAGCATGTCAGACTACATGTCAATGAGTTCCTTGCTGTTGGCGGTGCTACACGTGTGTTCAGGTGAGTGGCTGCACATGCGATTAGCATGTCAGACTACATGTCAATGAGTTCCTTGCTGTTGGCGGTGCTACACGTGTGTTCAGGTGAGTGGCTGCACATACGATTAGCATGTCAGACTACATAGCAATGAGTTTCTTGCTGTTGGCGGTGCTACACATGTGTTCATGTGAGTGGCTACACATACGATTAGCATGTAAGACTACATGACAATGAGTTCCTTGCTGTTGGTGGTGCTACACATGTGTTCATGTGAGTGGCTGCACATACGATTAGCATGTCAGACTACATGGCAATGATTTCCCTGCTGTTGGCGGTGCTACACATGTGTTCATGTGAGTGGCTGCACATACGATTAGCATGTCAGACTACATGGCAATGATTTCCCTGCTGTTGGCGGTGCTACACATGTGTTCATGTGAGTGGCTGCACATACGATTAGCATGTCAGACTACATGGCAATGAGTTCCTTGCTGTTGGCGGTGCTACACGTGTGTTCAGGTGAGTGCCTGCACATACGATTAGCATGTCAGACTACATGGCAATGAGTTCCTTGCTGTTGGTGGTGCTACACGTGTGTTCAGGTGAGTGGCTGCACATACGATTAACATGTCAGACTACATGTCAATGAGTTCCTTGCTGTTGGTGGTGCTACACGTGTGTTCAGGTGAGTGGCTGCACATACGATTAGCATGTCAGACTACATAGCAATGAGTTCCTTGCTGTTGGTGGTGATTCACATGTGTTCAGGTGAGTGGCTGCACATATGATTGGCATATTGGAACAGTTTCTTAAGCGACTTGGTGGCGTGGCTCGATCCTTGTATTACCGTATTCGCCATGCTTGTGGTTTTGTCACAGAGGTTCATCCATGGTACAACCAAGAATATGTAGAGGACGTCATGGAAAATGATAAATATTAAATTCTTTGGAATAGGCCCCTACACAGCCTCAGACCTATCCAGGCCAAATAACCTGATCTTGTCCCTTTGGATAATCCCAATGGAATCATATATATGTCGATGCATTTTCTGTCCCTTTTGACACTAATGTGACTGACAAGACTCAGGAAAAAACATGACAAATATGCGGACCTCGCTTTCGAAATGTCACACTTGCATCCCAAGTTGTCCGACTCCCCACTGCTCTCGGGGCCTTAGGTTTGGTACCTCCCTATCTGTTGACTGGCATTAGGAGACTACCCGGGGTTGCTGCCAGGAATACAGCTCTTCTGACCATGTTGGTAATGCAGAAGGCTGCAGTGTTGGGGAGTCTTCACATTCTCCGAACTGTTCTTGGTGGGTTCGAATGGGCAGCTTTTCCGAGCTGCATGTAGAGGGGCCTGTGTCCTGAGCTGATGATGAGCCTAACCAGCCTGAATGTGAACCCCCTTTGCTACATTTATTTATTTATTTAATAATTATGTAATAGAACGTTACGTGTGAAATTAAAATACTGTCTGAAATTGAAATATATCATTAATTGACATTTGCCACAATGCCAAAGTAATTTGGTGCGAGCTAGTAAAAATATGATTGATGGTAATCATTGCACCGATTAGCCCATGAATCCAATGGTAAAATGTATATGCAGGCATACCCCTTCCATGTTCATGTTCACACCTGTAATTAGTTATGCACCTGGTAATGATGAACCGTCACGCACGCTTTGCTTTGTTCCATGGTTCGGGATGTGTTCAACTCATTTTCACGTGTAAATAATGTTTTGTGATATGCTACCAATATTAAATGAATAACAAGTGGATGTGCCTTACTCTGGTTTTGTTGCTACATTCAATCGCTTGTAGTGAGTGAGCATGGTTTTATGCTTTAAGCAATATTTCAGCAATTTCGCGGCGGGGGACACAGGGAAATGGGCGTCAAACATTGTACCCATGCGGGGAATCGAACCGGGTCTTCCGCGTGACGAGCCAACGCTTTAACCACTATGCTACCCAAACGCCCCCAATCGCTTGTAAATGATTAGGCAATGTTACAGTGCAATAATGCACTGGTGGGATCAAAAAGGGATATCCCAAATAGAACAAGAGAGAACCATCATTATACATATTTGTTTTACATGGATAAGGGACTAAACACTGCATCAGTAAAACTTTCCTGTTAATAATAAACAGTGGCTAAATGCTTCATTCTGTCAAAGCTGCAACATAGCACAACTAATCACTGTCGAAGGGTGTTTAAAAAATCAACAATATTGTTCGTTGCTGCCATTGAACATATTCATGCGAATATAACGCCGTCATATGCTTGAACACATGTTGGTACCTGTCGATTGAGTTTAGACCCAAGATATTTAGGCCCAGTCGTCGAAGGCGCCGCGATCCGCTGTGCAGAGTTGCGTCCCTTGGGCACGCCAGAAACTTATGATTGTGGGTTCGAATCCCGGTTCGCCCCGATTATGTTTCTAGGTTTGTCAGCACCATACCCGTGCTCGTGGGTTTCACCGAAGTGGTAAACGTTTGAGACCTGCATCACTTAGGGCGTCGTTAAACCAAACTCACTCACTCACTCACTCGACAGACGAGGGCGCAGGTCACCAGTCACTATATATAGAGGCGTACATAGGCGTGACAGAACACAACGATCGTGGGTCCCAATCGATATCCATGTTTATGTTTCTTGGTTTGTCAGCACGTGGGATTCACCGAAAAAATATACATCAAAGTTGACATGCCATGATGTAATATAGATACTGTATCTAACACGGCGTTAAACAAACTGTTACTCACTCACTCTAAAACTCTAAATAAACCTGCATTCATAGGACAGGGATTGACTCCGCTATATTTAGATACTACTGAACTAGTTTAAAGAGACTGATATGCATGTTAACATGGATTTGTATACTACTTACGGGCTTGACAAATTGAGAGGCTCTGAAATAATCAAAACACTGTTCTGAGCTGGGTAACATCTCGCTCGCACCCTCGCTCCCTCCCTCCCTCTCTGCATCCCTCCCTCCCTCCCCTCCCCCCTCTCTCACTCACTCACGTGTATGTAACAGTAAACCTGCTTTCATATGCCAGAGATTGACTCCGCTATATTTAGCCACTCCTGAACTAGTTTGAAGCGACTGATAAGAATGTAAACACGGCCTTGTATATTACTTCCGTGTTGAGCTACCCGGTCACACATGACGATTGTAGCAACGATTTGTGTCTGACAAACTGAAGCCTCAGCAGGTATGTGTAAAGCATACATTTCTAACCTCATCACATGACACCTTATTTGTTTATGTATATTTGTATCACCATGTCGAACATACATGGCATAACGTATCTGGGAATAACCTACAATATCTCTACATACTCGTGTACTTTGACCTGGCCTCTATTTGTATATAAATGTTACCTGTGTGTCAGCTATCTGTACGTGGAGGGTTAATTAAAACACATAGCTTTACAGGTACGACCTAGAACCTGAACACAATTAATATGAATGGGATTGTCTGGGTCGTCTAAAGGTAATGCAGAGTGTTGTCCCTTTGTAAATAATACTAAACGTCTGTGTTCATATATGTATGTGAAATGAAACATATGTCATGTGAGCGTACATCATACTTTTAATTAATGTTTGTGTTAGTACAGTTAACAATGTAATCACAAATTTTTATATCGTGTTGAAGTTTATGAAGTTAATATGCATATATTCATCTAACTCATCCATCAGCGTTTAGTATGAAATGCGTATTTACTGTCTTACCGTCTAACACATTAACGACTATTAAAACACAAACACTATCGTCACAACACATAAAAAATAGACAGCTGGCAAGACAGAGACGTGATCTTTCTCTCATTTGCATATCTCATAATGTATCAAATCAGTATTCAATCGCCTGATAAACTATGAACCTATATTTCAGGTCTCCCCGAGGTGCCAGACAACAGGCATGATGAAGATAGCTGCTGCAACTATATTATATGTGATAGCAGGTATGTCTATCGTATCATCCACATGTGTAATGACTGTATATTTTACTATATCTTATATTACCCTGAATACTTAAAATATTCCTTGAATCACCGTAACAGGTCAATCAGAACATGATTCTACTTGGCCTAGTGCACGGTGATACCTCATGCTATATGCTACATATGCAAATATCTTCTTCCTGCAGGTGTTGCATCAGGGGCATCCAGTGCCAGCCCAGTGTTGTCTACAGTGTCTGACACAGCCAGGTTCAGCTGGGAGATTCCACAGGGAGGTCTGGGGACAGATGTCAGCTTCTACACTCTCAGTCCTGCTGGTACAGCCGTGTTTGTAGTGACAGCTGCTGGGGCATCTCTTGTATTTGGCAACTACGCAGGTAGGCTGGTGTACCAGGGGAACATAGCAGCCAGGAATGTCACCTTCACCCTCAGCAACATCCAGACATCTGATGCAGGGACATACACGTGTGGGAATGGAGGGGCTACTAGTGTGATACAGAACTGTGGACAGAAACTTGTTGTCCTGGGTGAGTGGCTTCTTAGTTTTGATTTATTGACGTTTCATACACATAGTTTAGTCCTATTTATATGCCATATACATATTCAGATAAAAAATATACGTGTGTCTTAAATAAGAATGTAATGTAAATATAATCGTCCGTGTTTAAGAATTAGGTATAGAACTCTCAGTTATAAGGACGGTTGTCACACCGGGGTAACAGTATATCCTCCATTGGTGCTTTGTTCTACATTGTTCAATTCATGTCAGCAAATGAGATCCTACTTATGATACACACTAGGTTGCACAAAAATGTGTTTCATGATTCTCCTTTAAATAAAAATACAACCACGAGGATAGTTTGAAAACAAAAGCAACCTTTCATCACTTGACTTTCCTCGGAGCATGTCCTGATTATGAAATAGACAACTTTGTTTTTAAAATGTAAGAGTTGTTATTCTGTGACAATACCTGTATTCCTTGTCTCTACTATTAGGCACAGTGGGGTAGCCTTATGGTTAAAACCCCCACTTGAAGTCCGCTTTCGATAACCCACATGGGTGCAATGTGTGAAGCCCATTTCTGGTATCCCCCGCCGTGATATTTGCTAAAAGCGGATTAAAACCACACTCGCTCAAATAATATTAGATGTTGCAAGTAACAAACAATTGTAATGTAGATGAATGTCGGCTGCATGCAAGGCAACACTGGTAAAACACATGTGATGTTAATGTCAGGAGGATATTTACAAACGTAATATTTTGAAACGGATCACTTGAAACAGCAAAATATAATCTGGTTGAAAACGCATCGTTCACCCCCGAACAGAGAAACGGTTACAAGTCGTTAGACGCAAACAAAAACCACCCACCCGATCTCGAAAACAAGCTCACCCATTGACGGCAACCAAGTGATTGTCGTGAGTGAATGGACACTATATATGTGGGAGAACATTTTCTGAACTGTTACCACTCTTGAGAAATCCACAAGACGTGTGTGCTGCTGACTTACTCGCCTAGATGACCCAAGTCTGACAGAGAAATGCGTCCTGACTCAAGTAATAAAAGACTGTTGATATATTGATGACAGGGGTAAACAGCAAACGGATAGGCAAATAAATAAACAACATTCTTGAGAGTACTGAGTCGACCCCCAGCAGTCACTTGGTTACCTATGCATTTAGTGCATGGCCACGTCCTTAAGGAAAATGTATGTTGTGATATCATGAGTGGTAATATTATATCTATTTTACTGATTGATCTGGAAAACCCCTGTATTTTCAGAGCAAGCAAACATTATAGTAACTGAATAGTGTGTGTGTAATGATGTGTATCCTTATGGAACTAAAGAATACTTGTGTGTCCTTTTGCAACATTGTCATCACCTCATCACACCCTCGTATCTATATTGTTAGAGGCAGCATGTACACTGACAACATCAACTTATGATTAATTATAGTGAATCGTACAGTTGTCATCTGTTTATGTTAACTTGATCAGTGTGAAATTAGAAATCAATTCACGTCGCAGTTGTTTAAATATATTTAAAATATCGTAGTTATATCAACCGCCAGTAATATATCCATTACGAAATCAATATTTCTATGAACGGGTGGTATCTGGTCGAATGTTATAGAAGGGGTATAATGGGTGACTCTGTGGTTTGAATACATTCAGCAGTGGGGTCGTTCTCCACTTCCTAGGCATTGCTATAAGCAAAAAAGCTAGAAGCATAAATAAGTAAATTTCTGCCGAACATTTTTTCCTTAAGATCCAAAACATCTTAAACGGAAATTGTAGACCCTGCTTATTGTTGATTCGCTTTGGGTAAATGCTTACATTGGTGGGAGTTCATGGTCGTAATGTGCCGCTGTGTGTTTGTACTTGGTATTGGTTGTATAAAAAAGGAGTTGACTTGATTCCGGGAAAGTTTTGTAGTGCATGTAGTCGCTACGGTGGTTTGGAGCCAAAATTAAAATACATCTATGACGTCACTCTATTGTTCCAACTGTTGATTATTTGGAACCAATTGGAAGTTTACTGGCCTACTTTCTGCAAGGCAAATGTATTAATTCTAAACACGGGCTTTAAGAATCTACTGAATCACAGAAAATACAAGTGCGCGCAGTAAGAATATTCAGATAAGGTTTACATGTATTACAAATGTACTGCATATTTTTATTGTATTTTTTCTCCTATTTATGGACCTATTGTCACTTTCAAGCTGTATTTTGTATCTGATTACACAGTATTTTGTTGATCCTGTATTTTGAGTCATGTAAATAAAGCGACAAAACCCTTTCTATATCCAATAGAAATATCTGCATAAAGCAGAGTCGATTACGCATGCGCAACTAGACATCAATTACAAATAATGACATTCGCCAGCTTCACTTACTCGAACCATATCTGTAACGCATGTCCAGTATAAGTCTGTTCATGCCTGCAAACAAGGGCACAATGTATTGATAAGACAGAACTGAAACACTGCCTTTAAATGAATACATAAATTAAGACTTAACATGCTGATTGGGAAAATCTAATCTGTCCTAATGATGTTAAACTTCTTCAAATACAGATTTATTGATGTTTGTTACACGTACATATGCAGAAAATGAATAAAAGAAGTTAAAACTGATTTATTTGTACTGGTAGGATAGACAGATGTATTAAAACTGCATAAAACTTAATGTGTCATTGTCCAGTTGAGCAAGGATATAGTTTATTCATTCAAAGACATTATCTAAACTTTTGTTGGGATAATGTAAAGTAAGCATGTCTCAATATTTGATGAATATCGCAATTTCAACCCTCGGACACAATATTTGAACACACAACAGAAAAGGTTTTAGCACATTAAAGATCGTTATTGTATCTTATCTGTTGATTTCATCCAACCCAACATTGTGTCTGATGAAGTCGAAGAATTGTAATCTTGTCAATCAATGATAATTCGTTTTAAAGACTCGTTATTTTGTTCTTGAAAGTATATAACCATATGAGTTTGTCATAACGTTGGTCAACATCAATGTTGAGCATGTAGCCATCGTCGTTGACGTCATACTAGTTCTGTTAGATTCATGAGATGGTTAAATGTGTAGAAGATGCAACCTTCTCACGAATGAGTGGATGATAAGACTTCATTACGATTCATTACAATTTGTTAATATGAAGATTGTTATCCATCCATAGCTGGTGTTAAGATTGCTAACATGGCCAAGCCACGCTTAAGCATTCATCCAACAACTCATGCCACTATTGTCATTGTATATATTAAGCTGTTTTCAAGCTCCTAATTTACACATGAAGTCTTTTGAAAGGCAAGCCCACCACTCCTGTCCGTCCAGTGTCAACAACTCCTGTCTACAACCAGCAAGTGACCTTGACCTGCAGCTCCACCTCTACCACTGTCCCGTCTGACCATGGCCTGACCTTGACCTACACCTGGCAGCGTGACAAAACTAACATCACAGTTACCTCCCCTGGTTCCCCCTACACCTTTACAGTGAGTTCCCGGGACAGTCACAGCTACAGATGTAGAGCCAGAGAAAGTCAGGGTCTGGAGTCAGAGTGGAGCCTGGGGTACAACATCGAGCCTCAGTGTGAGTACTGTAAACACGTTACTTACAAATGTCTCACACCACTGATTTATGTAAAGTTCGATCATCAATTGTCAATATGAACAGTTACAAAACATGCAATAATAAAATACAAGTAAGTATTTCTTCGACGAAACCGGAAGGGAATGTCAGTGACATTAGCTATTGATATATTGTCTGACTGTTCGCATGCCATTGGTAGATAAGGGATCTACTAAATTAATTTGTTTCTCACCCACTGTTAGAAAAAGTCATTTTGGGTCTATTCCTTGTCATCAGCGGGTTATTCAAATGGAGGCGTCGGTAACACTGTGAAACTGTACACCTCACCTGCTCTTACTCTGATCTACTACTAATTTGATAGACCCTTACGATGTTCAAGAAACAACAAACAGTCATCCACACTAAACACTTTACTCTTATCACTCACTGAATTGTTGAAATAACTAGTTGAATGCGATGAGTTATTTCACTAGCTTTGTTTATATCGAAGGGCTCCCAAATAAAAAAATATATGAATATATATAATATATACATCAAAAGAGTATCCAAACTCACTTTTATGAAATGTTATATTCAACAAGACATGACTCAACTACACAGGCTAGATGTTTCCCCTGATGTGTCGAACCTTGGGTTAGGCTATTATGAAGATATTATAAAGTAACATTTTGTTCAATGTTAAGGAATATATATTAATTATATACCCTTCGGAGATATAACCGTTTAAATAAAAAAAAATATTGTATTGCTCATTGTATTAAAACACCAGGTCCGGACTCTTTGTTGTCATCAGCTGATCGTTGTATGGCGTACACAATGTTTACTCTACTTTCAGATGATAACCTACTCCAAAAAGAAACTATTAACATTCACGAAACAAGGCATACAGTGCATTCATCTCAAAATTCGCTGCATTGTTTCCATATATATTTGAATTTGTCGGTTGGATTTTTCAGTCGCCTGTGATCTATTGCATATACTTTTTTTATTGCAGTTTTACAAGCATTGTTGTTGCATAACGCTTCAGAGCATCACTAATAAACAATACGTCATATCGAACCATCATCACAACATTCATCATATTTACTACTTTCAACTTCATTTTGTAAATAAGAGTAAGCCATATGGACAAATGGACAGCAACTAGAAATGTCAATCGATGCAATCTCCTGTCTTAGTGCACCGTTTTTGGTGATGCCAAACAATAATTACAATCAATTTCATTACTACAAAAAGATCGCTTCTGTGGTCCAGTGGACATAACGTCCGCCGAAGATCTGAAGACTGTGGGTTCGAATCCCGGTCGCCTCACACAAAAATACATTAAAAGACAGTACCCCGCCAGGCGCTCGAAAATTTAGTGGCTGAAACAAGGACTGGTCGGCTCAGGGCCAGTATACTGTGTCTGAGTTGAGTATTCATGTTGA